TAATATAATGAGTCGAGCCCGAGCTTTTGATACTCAAACGTTTTTATAGAATCAAATCGAGCTAACAAAACAAGTTGATAAATGATCTATAATTTGACTTGTTTATCAATATTAAGACTTATTTTTATTTATCGAAACTAACAAAACTTGTGTTTCAACAAATAGAGTTCACGAACAGCTCATTGAATTTAGCAATAAGTAAAAGAAAACCCATCATCAGCATATAAAATGTACTAGTACGTCACCCGCACGTTGCGCGGCCTGATGCTAAACAATAATGTGAATGAATTAGAATTTAAATAAATACAAAATATTCCTAATATTTATAGATAAAATAAAAAACTAGGATGAAAATTTTATTCATTGTATTTTAAAATGTTTCTCTAAATATAATATTATTAGTTGATGAAATGTATTCATTGTTATTATTATCATCATAAATAATAATTATCAGACAACACAGATCGTGATTATAGAAAAACAACATATAACTGATTGTGATTATAATACCATATGTTTTTTTCATAGATATTTTCAAATTAAACAAATTTAACTTAAAAAATATTTGTGATATTCGATGAAAATTGGTATTTGTCACATTATTGACACTTCTTGAAACTTTTTTCCTAAAAATGTTTTGATAATAACATAATTTTCATATTTGTGAATAACTAAAGACATTATTACTTTTACATAGATAAAATCATATAGAATAATGAAAATAAACATGTACACATATGAGCCAATTAAAATTAAAATATATAAATTAAATACTCAAGAAAAAGTATAAAAATGACTCTATTTTGAATCGCATGAATTTAATTTCAAATTAGGTCCACATGTCTTGGACTTTTTTAATTCGCAAAATAAATTCAAAATTTCATTTATCTGTAAAATAAGTCCGGTGGTGATCAGAATGACGTGCAAGATGGATCACACATTTTGTAAAGTTACAAATATTCACAATAATCGTTAACAATCATGTCAATAACAAATTACTTATTTTTTGCACGGACATTTACATAATATTATATTAATTATAAAAAAGTAAAAATTATTTTGATAAAACTAACTTTTTTGATATATGATAACAAAAGTAGTTGATGCATTATTGTAAGTAGTATTAAACTTTATCTATTGCAAAAATTTAGTAGCGATAATATATTCTTGTCATTATTTTAAGAAATAAACATGTGTTATAATAATAAAAAGTTAACAATAGTTAACACATTATGCTAATTTTATTTAAAAAAATTTATAATTGCATACTTGTGGATCAATAAAGAGATTACAATGTTGGCAGTCACTTTAGTCACAAACTTTTAGATGACCTCAAATTTAAGTCTAAATGAAACAAATGATATCAACTAAAAATAAAATAAAATAAACAAACTATGTACTTTAGGCTCAAACTATTCAATCATTGGACCAAAACCAATATAAAATGCCTCATATATAACAAACAATCCAATAAATAATTGAATAATAAATATATATTGTCTTATTCAGTCTCCATAGTCAAAATCATACTGTCACTCTTTCTCTCCATTATGGTTGAGACACCCTTACTCTTTCTATTATCAATTTTTTTTCCTTTCACAATATCATTCCGCAATATTAGTCTATTTCTTACCCGTAATTGAAACCAAATTTAGATGTCACATTCAATCACTAAATCATCTAATTTTTATTTTGTGTACAAACTCTGAAAGTAAATGTCCATCTAAAAGTGAAAAATAAAAGTATAAATTGTTGATGACCGACTTGATTTCCCATGATTAATTAAAGACTGATTATTTTATCCTGTTAATGGTCCTTTAGAATTATTTTTTGGCGGCCAACTTGGTCCAACTCGGTCCAATTAGACGTCAAACGACTTTGGACCACTGAAGAAATAACCGACTAAAGCATCGGAAACCGACTCCACACTAAAGGCAAAGGAAACCGACCTCGCTGACATTTATATTAAAGATTACCCATTTAGCCGAGATTCGAGAAGATCAAATTTCAAAGCAGGAGACGCTGTATGTTTTTAATTGGACCATCAAGTCAAATAATAATCATTGATGTTCCATCATTACATTACACGCCGCATTATTGAAGCTGCTCAACATTAAATGCGATCTGATCTACCTCGGACAAGAAGACAAAACCACCATACTATAAATAGCATAATTTATTATTGTACAGGGATTTTTTTTTGCACATTGTACACGGACTATAAAACATCTCGGTTATGAACAAAAAATCGACTTCCTGTACTCTCGTGAAACGATCAATAATATATAAATTTATACTTATTTCCTTTTAAATACACCTTGTTGTTTGTTTATTTGAGTTGTTAAATTTCATACAACAACAGTAAATGTCTATACATATATATATATATATATATATATATATATCCAAATAGGTTTTAACTATATACTTTCAAATGTTTATTTTTCTTTGTATTTATCATATTAAGGTAGTAATCAGATGATCACGTCAATGATTAGATCAATAACCAACACTTATTTTGCACTGAATTTATGAGAATCATAATTTAACTTATTTTGTTAGAAATACACATTGAGAGAATTATTGTAACACAATAAGAATAAAATATTTAAATTATAATATAAAGCACTAAAACAATAAAAAAAGTAAAACTAACACTTGTGATGTATGATAAAAAAAAAAGTTGTCGTACTTGTGGTATTTTATGCAAAACATTATTTGTTGTAATATTTTGATAAAGACAATAATTTTTTGTCATTCTTATGAAACAATATAGATATACGAATAAAAAATTAACAATAAGCTAACTCGTTATGCTTCTTTTTCAACAATTATAATTGTATAATTAAAATGATGACAAAAAATGCACATACGTCTAGATGACCTCTTCAATAATTTGAAAAAAATAAAATAAATTATACCAACTGAAATAAATTAAATAAATTTTGTATTTTTGGGTCAAACAACTTCAATCAGACCAAAACCAATATGAGTTTTCTCTTCAGTTTCACAATTACAGACGTGAGTTGCGCCTTTCTAAAGTCATGCAAATCTCTGAATTTGTATGTTATCATTTCTATTTTTCTAATGTTAGTGCTAAGGTATTTATGTATTTTTCTTCCACAAATACAATCAAATTTTGATGTTATGTTCGATTCTAAGTTGTTCTTTTTTTTTTTCCTTTGTTTTATTTATTTTTTCATATTAATGGTTGATATTTGTTTATCCCATTTTTATTGCGTTTTTCGTTGTTATTTTTTCTTTTTCCCCCATTTTAGGTCTTTTCGTTGGTTTTTATTCGTTTTTGTAGTTTATTGTGTGTTTTGTTCTATTTTTGGTTTTCTAGGTATTTTTTGTGTGTTTTTTCAGTTTTTCTTCGTTTATGGTGTGCAGGTCGGAAGCTTTGGAAGGATTTATTTCAATGATAAATGGACCGGGCGAACATAATTAATTAGAAGGTAATAGGTTATTCAATATTTTTTTAGATACATTTCATATGGATTTGCATGTTAGTACCCAATGCCCGCAGATAATACTTTTTGATTTTTTAAATCTCCCTTTTAGTCAAATAAATTACATTATTTATGACAAATACAACTTTATACTATATCTATCTATGTTTGTATCTTTTTTTTTTTAATTTATTAGAAAGTAATATAAAAAAGTATGAAATTTGGTTGAATATTAAATCGAACACCAAAATTCAATAACATTCGACCGACTATTTTTCCCAAACAATATAATTCTATTTTTCGTATATTGTTTAGGCTCAAGTTTTGTTTTCTCATGCTACTTATTATTATTATTATTATTATTATTATTATTATTATTATTATTATTTTTATTATTATCTATATATTTGTGATTAATACTATTTCTTTAGCAATTATATAAATGTTGTAAATTTGGCTTCTCACATGATAGAAACATTGTATATAGAATGTTTTGAAATAATTGTGGAAATAGAAAACATATGACAATTCAGATATGATATGTATGTATATATCACAAAGATACTTTTAAGTTGGTGTAACTATTAAGATAATTTTCTACCATTTTTTTTAATCAAATATGTGTGCTCATATTATACATTTAAACAATATTATTTTTCTAGGTAAAGTATTTTATTATAAAAGTATTTTTATTTATTAGAAAAAATATGTTCTCTGTTAGACCTATAAAAAAAAATTACCCCATTAGAAGATTATGATTAATTTGATAGAAAATAAATACATTAAATTTGTTTTTTTAAGTTTGAAATTTGTTTTAAAAAAGTAATTTCGTATTTGTCAAGTCAAAGTGGACTTTATCACATTGAGAAAAAAAAAATAGAGAAAAATTAGGAGCTGGGCACGCTTCCCTAACATACATGAAACCAAGACTAAAATTTTTGTATGTATTCATTATTCTCAAATTTAATACCAAGTGGAAATTTAATGCAAAATTTAAGAGGAGAGTAGTTATCAAATAATGTGCAGACATTTAATGCAGATTTTGAGCGACAATCATCATTGAATCCGACAATGAATCGTGCCCAAGCACGCGTTATCATGGGTCCCTAGAAGTATAGCCGCAGCAGCAATTCATTATCTCACCGAGCATTCCGAATATAACTATTACGGCATCAGATTATCTCGCCGAATTCCACAAGAAACCCATGATCACCGCGCCCTAGAAGTGCAACAGGGGTCCTTTAATATATATACAGATGTAAGCTGCAAATTAATCACATCCTCCTCACACTGTCACAAGTTGGAATCTTTATACATTTATCTAAAAAGCCTTTTTTTAGAAATCTATTTTCATTTTTTTCCAATTTGAGCCCAACAAAGAACATGACCATTCACATTTTTCCTCACAAAAGCCTTGGAAAAACTGCCCCTTTGGGCTAGGACACGTGGCGTTGTTGAAATCTGTTTTCATGAAGGGTCCTTCATCCCTTGACTATAGTTACTACTACCAGATTGCATTTTCTCATCTTTATTACTTTATTTGTGCATAAAGAATTCATTTTTCTTTTTCTGTTCAGAAAGCAGTGATTGGATTTAGAATTTTGGATAATGGAGTCTACACGTGTCCTCTGAAACAGTACAAAATTAGTAAAAACTTTTATTTTTTGCCCCCACACTCCTCTCGCTTCCTCTCTCTCTCTCCTCTCTCTGAATACCAGCAGAAATAAAGTTGGAATAAAAATCTGAGGGAGGAGCTGAAAAAACTTTGAGCTCGTGTGTTCTTGGTTGGACTGTTTTTCATTTGTTGGGTCCTTTCAGTTTCAGTTCTTGGTAAGAATTCATTCACCTCTTGTTTTCTGTGATTCGATGGTTAAAAAAATTGGTTGTTGATTTTCATGGATTTTATTCCCTTTTTGCTAAGTACAATTATAGCTTCTTCTTCTTCATCTTGTTTTAATCTCTTTCTTTGTGTCTTTGCTTCTTTCTTTTTGTTTGTGTGTGTGTGTTGAGCTTCTGTTCTTTAAGAATAAACCTCTGATTGTTTTTGGAGAAAAGGGAAAATTTTGTCTGATAGAGAAAAGGCTTAGAAGAGTTGCCTTAGATCCATGAAACCCATGCTCCATGTGGCAAAAAGTTAGCATTTTTAGTGGGGTTCCTTATGAATCTTGAGTTGTTTGGTTTTCCCTCTTCATGGGTTTCTTTTCCACACCGCTTTTCCCTTGCTGGACTTGTGGATAAGGCTTTTGAGTTTGTCGTTTTATTTTAAAAAAAATAAAAATTATCCCGGATTATATAAGGGTTGGTAGTGTGAATTGTGTTTTGTAGTCTTCATTTGTTTAAGCTCTTGAATTTTCTATTAGTGGAAATTTATATCCTATGTTTAACGGCTAGATCTAATTCTAGAGATCTCTCTGTTCTTTATTACATGTTCTCTGTTTATTGGTGAAACTATTCTTGGTGCACCTTCTCTAGATCATACGTTATTTTGCTTTTTGTTTAGTTCTTCCTAGACGACTTATTGGCGCCTTTTCAAGAATCTCTATGGTTTACCCATAATTTCGTTCGGTTCTGTTCCTATGGAGATTCTCAACAACAATGGAAGAGATTTCTTTAGTTGCACTCGGCTTAAATAGCCTCGCTCGTTTCTAATCCTATGGAAATCACACAAATCAAACTCGAAACCGAGACAACAATCCCTATTACATCAGATCCCGAAATGGTTATAAACGAGACGGTTGAAGATAAAGGGACAACCGATAATTTAGCTAAAGATATTCAAGAAAGTGAGGAAGATGAAATTATTCTCTCGGTTGTGAAAGACTCTAGTTTATCGACTAGTGTAGAGCTAAGTGTGCCTTTAGATGCTTCTTTAGAGACGAGCTTACCAATTGCTGTCGAGATTGAGGGAACCGAAAGCGGACAAATACTTGCGAAAGTCATTAGTGTTGAGGAGAGAAGCGTAAAATCGAGATTATCAGAGAATGTGGTGAATGAAGCTGATAAACAAAATGAAGGGTGCTCGAGTAGGCCCACAATTAAGTCTTCAGTGGTTGCTGTTAAGTTATCTGGTGAAAAAAAGGGTGTGAAGAGTGTCTTTGAATTGGATTGTTTGCCTCTTTGGGGTTCGGTTTCGATATGTGGGCGTAGGTCCGAAATGGAGGATTCGGTTATGGCTGTGCCGAATTTCATGAAAATTCCCATTAAGATGTTTATTGGTGATAATGCAGTTGATGGGATAAGTCAGACTTTGAGTCACTTGACTTCGCATTTTTACGGGGTTTATGATGGTCATGGTGGGTTTCAGGTATGTAATATTCTCGAAAGTTGAAATTGTTTTTTCTAACTTGAACTAACAATTATAGCAATATATTTTTTTTTTATCATCTCAAATGGTGAACTCTCACATATATGTTCAAAAAGTGTTTTTTGGCTTATAAGATGTGAAGTAAAATAAGTTCTACAAGTGTTTTCATTTGTATGATATTAGTAGTGACACTTTAATAAGATCTCTCATTTTTCTTAATAGGTTGCGAATTATTGTCGTGACCGAATCCATTTCGCCTTGGAAGAGGAGATAATAAACGTTAAAGATGTTACGGTTAGCGGGATTTCTAAAGACCCTCGGCAAATTCACTGGGAAAATGTCTTCACAAGTTGCTTTGCAAAAGTTGACGAAGAAGTCAGTGGAAAAACGAGTCGAGCTTCACCTATTTGCCCCGAAACAGTTGGTTCCACTGCAGTTGTTGCAGTTGTTTGTTCATCACATATTATAGTGGCAAACTGTGGGGATTCAAGGGCGGTGCTTTATCGTGGTAAAGAAGCCATTGCATTGTCAATCGATCATAAAGTAAGTGGGCTTTTTTAGTTAAAAATGAAGTTTTTTGAGGTTATTTTGGGAAATTTAGAGTAATTAATTAATGTTAAAAATATTGTGGGTGTATATCTTTTTCAGCCGAGCCGAGAGGATGAATATGCTAGGATTGAGGCGGCCGGTGGGAAGGTCATACAGTGGAATGGTCACCGTGTTTTTGGTGTTCTTGCAATGTCAAGGTCTATTGGTATGTCGATTATGCAGCCATTTTTATTAGATTAGATTCTCATTTTTTATTTTTTTCTTCATGAATTTGCATGTAAAGACATGTTGTCCCATGATGATTGTAAACAATCCGAGCTCAGCTCGACTTGTTAACTTAACGCGCTTATAATCGAGCTCCAACTTGGTTTATTTCTAACTCTTTTTTTTTTTTT